TATATATATATATATATATATATATATATACACATCATCCACAAATCAGCAAATTGAGTTAAAAACTTTCAAAATCAAATTCTGAACCATGCAAACTCAAATGGCAACAAACTTATAATTGAATTAATAATAATAATAATAATAGTTATGAATCATGACAGTCTACAACTAGTGCACTACAAGCGTGCGACACCGATAGGTAGGCGTAAGCAGGCATGTGGGCATGCCAGCTACTGAAAGCCTTATACCGCTTGAAAGTACGAGATGCTCCAAAAAGAGAGATGGATTAAGTATTTAAGAACTTATTTAACGAAAAAAAAAATTATAACTTGATGCGAAAACAAATTACATTCACAATAAAAAAATAAATTATCAATTTCACTTATGCAATTTATCATAAAAAAAATGTAGAAATAAAATCCAAAAATAATAATGGGAAGAACACGCCAAATTTATAATTGTTCGATTAAACCTTGACATAAATCCACTCTTCGAAAACACCCTCCGAGTATTAAACTAAACATTTAATGCCTATTCTCTAACCCTCACAATTAGACGAAAAAACCCTTACAAAATGACTTTCACCTTCCCCGGTGCAGCGAAAAGGCCGGGTCCTTTAACACCAAAGAGATCTTCTTCTTCCCAAAACTTCCCTCAAGACGAACATTAAATTCGATGGTACTAAGAAGCAAGCTTGCCAAAACAACCATTTGAAATCCTCTCCACACTCCCTTGAAACCCCCCCCCTCCAAAGATCTCGCTCTCTCAAATTCCAAACTTTGCACTCCCTTTCAAGATATTTTCAATTTTTTTGCATAAAACAAAATTTCAATAACTGCCAAAAACACTTACAAAGTTTTATGATAATGATTAAATAGAGTGCTTCAAAAACTCTAAAAATACAATTCAACCATCAAAGATCACAGTACAATCTCAAAAAAAGTTACATAGTATTATACTAGCAATTCAATTTACATGTTCATACGGTACAAAAATCAATTAGTACCATACAACCAATTCAATCAAAATGCAATTCGTCCAAGACGAAACATGAGAACCAAAATCATCTATGTTAATAGTGCAATACAATCCAATTCATACAATACGATCAAAATATCAAATTCAAACAAATTTTATTAACTAATCACAAGATAAAATTAGACAACATTTTAAACAACTTTTACATTTTTCTCTAATTTAATGGACAACGAACTTCCTAATTATAACACATAATCTAATCTTATATAATATTTATACTGTACAATATTACGAAATATTTAATTATTTTAGTTCCTCCTAATGAGGACTAGGAAACACATGCATTACGAAATAGTTAATTATCTCTCAGCCCAATAGTTAATTTCAATAAGCGTAAGCAGCTGCACTATACCAATCTTATTATTCCAAGAAGGTGATAAAAACCTAGCTTAAGCCTGCTGACAACATAGACATTAATAAGATCATGATAAAATTACACCCCCAACCCAACAACCATTAGAGGGTCTTGAATCAGATATTAGCAGCTCAACTCCTTCATCCATGCTTGTTTTACAAGAATAACTCTCATCAAGTTCGTATTTAAACAAGGAATGAGTAAAATAGGCTTCAAAAGTACAAACAATTTAACTCCGGCAAAATACAACAAAACTCCAAAATGCCATGGTGCTGCTCCAATCGAACTCCATTTTAAATACTTCTACGAAGTTAACAATCCTTCTCCCTTTCGCACGTCTTTTCGGTTGAGAGAGCAAAATAGCATAGGTGAACAGTACAACGCCAATATTAGCATTGCACTGTTCATCCGCAAGTAAACAACGGAAGATTTGACACTCTTAGAGCATCTGATGCCTCTCTAACAAGTCATAATGAATTTAAACAACAATAAGCTTATCTTGAATCTGACAGCATCATTTTGTACTAAAAAAATAATTTTATAAGATAACAAAAGAACTGTTCCAAAAGAAAACTAAAAAGTTTATTGAATACACACAAAATGACAATCATATAAAGCTTAATGAATTATAACAAATGCTAATATATTTGAACAGCAACATTACAACTTAATCACAAGCTAACCACACTTGCTATAGATACCGTTCTTACAAAAGATCTCATTTTTATTCAAACATCAATCACACCACTTAAATAAGGTTGCTCATGTTTATAAAAATGACTTGGGCAATACTTAGCACCAATGTTAAGGCACCCCAATCAATAACCCAACAACAAAAATAAGCTACATGTTTTCAAGGATTCAAGCTTAGTTTGAGGAGCAATTATTAGGTCCTTTCACTGGATATAGAGGAATGTTCGATTTTAGGCAAAAATAGGTCAAAAAGTACAAATACCGTGTTTTTTAAAAAAACTCGATATTTTTACAAAAAACTCGGTATTCGCACTTTTTTAGGCAAAACCGAACCTTCCTCTAAATCCTTGCACAGGACCAAATAAAAGTTCTAGTTTGAGAAGTCTTTTTTTTTTTTGCTTACTAAAACAACTTCGTAGTATAAAAATTTTAATTTTTATATTAAAATATTGCTTTATGAAACAATAAGTTTCATAATAAAACCATACTGATTACTCTCACAAACCTCATTGGCTTTGTTATCAAGAACTTCAAAGTCATTGATCTTATCAAGCATATTAAAACTCAAACCAACACATGCTAAGTATCATTTGAGCTCTTTTCTCTTTACATCTTGGCCAAGACTACAAGAGCCCTTGAAGAAGCTTGGAATCGCCATTAAACAACACATAAACAATTGATCATTATCATTAATACAAATCTTCTTAAAAAGTGATTTAATAATGATTCTCCTTAACAAAAATTGCAATCCCTTCATCAATACAATAAATAATGATCACAAATGTCACATCACTCGCTGAATCATAGCTTTTTATATACTTAAGCAATCAACTAAGGTAAGCTAATTAATGGTTTACATGTAATTGATGGCCTCAGACATCCAAGGAAGGAATATGTTGAAGCAGCATAAGCTCTCAAGCCTGGCAAGACGAAAGCTCTCAGGCGGCCACTGCGAATGTTTGAGAAACAAGCCTTGAGTCTGTCATCACAGGCTACAATTACTGTTCTTAATAATAAAAATCCTTATAACCTTCACTTACCTTTTAGAAAAAAGTTTTTCAATTATAAAGCAAGTAACATAATTTTACAAACGAATATATAGTATTTTTGTTCATGCTTAGCTTAGAAAAAAAATCACGAATTATGTCGATTTAGTAGATGAAAGCACGAAAATACAGAAGCATGGTTGATTAGCCTCAGACATCCAAGGAAGGAAATTTGTAAGCAGCAAAAGCTCTCAAGCCCGGTAAGGCGAAAGCTCTCAGGCGGCCACTGCGAATGTTTTGAGAAACAAGCCTTTGGTTTGTCATCATAGGCATACTCTTCTTACAATATCGCAAGATTACATAACAGATTTCTACAAATAGATAAATAATAAGTTTACAAAACATATTAATCAACTAATGGTGCTCATATTCTATGGGTGATTCGGTGTCTGTCATGCTAAAAGAAGCCTTGCAATTCAGAACGAGGAATTTTTTATAATCACAGCAACCATGAATAACTAGCATTAGAATGAGGACAAAGCAAAATAAAATTGTATGAACACATAGATTTGGAGAGAGCGAGGGATCTAAAGATCATAGAAGACGAAGAACAAACCTACTAGAAAAGTATCGAAAGAAGAACATACTGCGAACTGATAAATTGAATCATTCACCGTTCATTCTATGAAAAGAGAGACAAATTTTCTGCAAAAACTTCGAGAGAACAATTGATAAAGAAGCTCCTGGAGCTAGAACGAAAACCCTAAGAAGCACCAGGGAAAGTGCGGCGATATGTTGAGGCTGAGAGGTTAACCTCGGATTTATAGAAGAAAACCCTAGATGACCTTCAACAAGATGGGCTGGAACAGTCGGGGTATAGCCCATACAAAATAGCAGGTAAGCCCACAATTATGGGCTTTTCTAAATGTATTCGTTAGGCTTTTAGCATAAAGTATGTTTGTAGGTTTGAGAATATTAAAAAACAAGGCAATATATTTTAGGATCTATGTTGCACCGATACGGATACGGTGACACGGATACGACACATTACGGATACGGGACACAACAATTCTAAAACATACAGGATACGACATTATAATATATAAATCATATATAAAAAAAATGAAAGCAACATCATTTGTAGCATTGTATCTTATAATATCAAAATAAAAGTAATTATTAAATATTTAAATGTCTATTACAACAAAATAAACAAAAATATAAATTGTCTAGCATATGAAGTTTTTAATTAAAAGTACAAAGGATTGACACAATTAATCCACATGAATTTGAAACATTAATTTTTTTAATAAAAAGTATAGATATTTTACGCCTATGCCGGGGGTCCAAGGGGGCACTGCCCCCTGGCGGGGTTTGATCTGCAGTACCGATAAGTATCGAGCGGTACCAAGCAGTACCGAGCGGTACAGAGTATAGAGCAGTACTGAGTTCTAGTATCGCTCGGTACCGAGCAGTACCAATAAGTACCGAACAGTACCAAGTACCAAGCAGTACTGAGTTCTAGTATCGCTCGGTACCGAGCAGTACTGAATACTAAACAGTACCGAGTACTAAGCAGTATCGAGTACCAAGCGATACGCATGTCTGATACGCATGTCCGATCAAATTTAAATAATATTTTAATTGGACATGGCAAAGCCGTATCCGACACGTATCCATGCCGTATCGGAGGCGTACCCGTATCTGACACGTATCCGATACAGCATGCCTCATAAATATGCGTATCCGTGCAACATAGTTTAGAATATTCTGATTAAATTTAACTCAAGAAATAAAATATTCATTTTATTTTTTTCTCTCGACAAGGGAACCAATGCATAAAGATATTCACCACTTCACTCAACTTATGGTTAGAAATACGTCACTTTTATTAATAATTTCTCACTTATGTTAGATTTTTTTTATGTACATGAAATTAGAACTTTTTCATAAATTTATCACATTCAAAATAACGGCTGTAAAATAATTCAAATTCCAAATAAAAAGAAATCACCGGTAATTGCTTACAATTAGGAGTATCAATATTTGATCCAACCCAAAAATCCGGATCGAATCCGACCCGAAAATTTCGGGTTCGGGTCAAGGTTAGGGAGTTCGACCCGTTTGTAAAACCGAGTCGGGTTCGGGTTGACCGGGAAACCCGAAATCAACCCGATTTGACCCGTTTTAATTAATTTATGAGGGTTTTAATGAATTTTTATGAAATAAGTAAATGATATTTTAAAAAATTATAAACATTATTGCCCAAATTAAATTAATGTTGATTTATTTTAAATTAATTGAAATAAATCTTACCTTAATTTGATTTAGATTTAAATAAATTGAATTAAATAAAAAAATTTAATAAAATATACCCGAATCGGGTTGGGTTCGGGTTGACCCGGACCCAAAGCGGGTCGGGTTGAATAGTATCGGGTCAATTTTGGGTTGGACCCGAACCCGACCCATGACCCAATTTTAACAGTCCTACTTACATTACTATTTAGCTACTCATTGCATTATAGGCCAACGAACATACCCCTAAACCCTCAAACAAAATAACACTTTTAATTCAAAATTTTGTTGTCAATAATAGTTAAGAATTTTTTATGGAGTTAATTGATAGGACTCATTACCACTAGATTTTGAATAAATCCTTTAATGCTATTTTGTATACTAAAAATTTTGTCCCACTTGCTGAGAAAAAAAAGTTAATCATAATTTAATAATAGTTATATTTTACATCAAACTATGATATATAATCATTTTAGAAAAAATTATCATATTTTAATTATATATAAATATAATTGATACGCCGTCAAAAAATTATCTTGATCGGGCACGAATCTCGATGCAAAATCAAGTTGGAAACTTCAAAAATTAATTCGGAGACTATCAGAACTCTGATTTCAGCAAACTTACAGTCAAACTGAGCGTCTCGGAAATAAGAACCCAACGACACCAAATTCGACTCAATCCAAGCCCCAATGAGCACAAATAAAAGACCTGAAGCGCCGTTGGAAGGTTCAAACAACAATTCGGGTTATCAAACGGTTTTCAAACATTACATGCTTATAGTCGAATCGAGCGGCTCGACGAGACAAATCCAACAAGCCCAAGATCACTGAATTCCGACATCAATAAGACATTCAAATGTCCATCAAACGATTCATGATCAAGGGATTCAACATCAGCCATCCATTCAACCACTCCCCATTTACCCTTGATCTCTCACATATTTACATGTCATGCCATTCCCAAAATCTATAAATAGAGCTCCCTCTCCTCTTAAAAAAGGACCCCCTAAGCCTAAGGAAAAAAGAGAGATCAGAGATCGCTCTTGCTTCCTTGCCTCCTCGACCACCGCTGGAATTTCGCCGGACCACCACCGGAGTTCCGTCGAACCCCCGCTGGTCCACCACCGTCGGACTTTCACCGGACCACCACTTAAGGCCCTCACATCAGCCGGACCACCGCCTGACGCCATTGCTCCGTCGAGCCACCATTTAAGGCCCTCGCCTCCCCTGGACCACCGCCTGATGCTGTTGCTCCGTCGGACCACCACTTAAGGCCCTGACCTCAGCCGGACCACCGTCTGACGCCGTTACTCCGCCGGACCACCACTTGAGGCCCTCACCTCCGCCGGACCACCGCCTGACGCCGTTGCTTCGCCTGACCACCGCCTAAAATCGTTGCTCCTCCGAACCACCACTTAAGGCCCTCACCTCCAATGGACCACCGCCTAACGCCATTGCTCCACCGAACCACCATTTAAGGCCCTCGCCTCCGTCGGACCACCGCCTGACATCTTTGCTCCGCCGGACCACCACTTGAGACCCTCACCTCCGCTGGACCACCGCCTAACGCCATTGCTCCATCGGACCACCACTGAAGGCTCTCACCTCTGCCGGACCACCGCCTAACGCTGTTTCTCCGCCAAACCACCACTTTAGGCCCTCACCTCCGTCGGACCACCGCTTGACGTTGTTGCTCCGCCGAACCACCATTTAAGGCCCTCGCCTCCACCGGACCACCGCCTGACGTTGTTACTCCGCCTGACCTCCACTTGAGGCCCTCACCTCCACCGGACCACCGCCTGACGCCATTGCTCTGCCGGACCACCACTTAAGGCCCTCACCTCCGCAGAACCACCGCCTGACTCTGTGCTCCGCCGCACCCCCACTTAAGGCCCTCACCTCCGCCGGACCACCGCATGACGATGTTGCTCCGCCAGACACCACCTGAGGTCCGGACCTTTGCTGGACCACCATATGAGGTCCGGACTTCCATCGGATCACTAGCTAAGGCCCAGACTTCAGCCGTACCACCACTTGAGACTCTTTGCTCCACCAGGCCACTACCTAAGGTTCGGACTTCCGCCGGACTGTCACTTGAGGCCCCGAGCTCCACCAGGCCACCACCTGATGGCCCGGAGTTCTACGGAAGTACCATCCTTCTACTATGGTCTTTCAGACTCCTATCTCCTACCGACTACGGTCCTCTCAACCTTCGTCGCCTACTATGGTCACTCCGACCTCCATCACCAGACAACGGACTTTCAGACCCTAGTCTCTTGCCAACTACGGTCTTCCAGACTCCTATTTGCTGCCGACTATGGTCCTCTCGACCTCCGTAGCCTACTATGGTCACTCCGACCTCCATCACCAGACAACAATCTTTTAGAACCCGGTCTCCTGCTAACTGCGGTCCTTCCAACCTCCATCGCCAGATGACGGTCTTACAGACCTCGATCTCCTGCCGACTACGATCCTCACGACTTTTGTCGCCTACTACGGTCCTTCCGACCTACATCACCAGACAATTGTCTTCCTGACCCCAATCTCCTACCAAATACGGTTTTCCGGACCCCCGTCTCATACCAACTACGGCCCTTCCAACCAACCAAACATTTATATTATTGTAACTCCCACTATGTAATGCGCTCTATATGATGTACATTTGTACCATCAAGCTAATGCCTTCTCCCAAGGAAGGGCCTCATTTGTAATCGACTGCAAATACGAGTGGATTCATTCAAACTGAGCCAGGCCCCATGATTTTTCCCCCTTTTTCAGGGGTTTCCATGTAAAAACTCTGTTGTTTCTTATGAATGATACACACTCTCTCTTATCTGATTGCGTGCTGAATCTTCGTACAATGCTAAGGCATTAAACTATATACTTCTTCTATCGCCACGAATACTCCAGGACGCAACAATAATAATTATTAATAAAATTAAATATATATTTTTTATTTTTATATTAATGATAACAATTTCAAAGAAAATCCAAGTTTATATAAAATAGAAATATATTATAAATTATCAATCTAACTTTTGAAGCCTTATTCCTCTCCTAAATTCTAAAAATCCTCTTAGCATCATCAAAATATATTATTGTGAAAAATGATAAAATGCTCTTTACATTTGAGGCCAAGGAAGATCTTGTCATAAAAGGGATAATGTTATTAGAGAATCATTACAAATTTATATTTTCATAATCACTTTAGATGCACATTTAGTAGAAATGAATAAAGATCTAAAGAACACGTCATTTGCATTAGATCCTCGAGATGGATATCGATCATTCAAAATTTTAAAGAAAAAAAAATTTATGTTCAGATTAGATTAGTCAAGACAATGTTACAAAATAAGATGGAAGAGATTTTTCTTGGGAATTCATTCATAATAATTATTGAAAAGGATAATGCAATGAGTCTTGACATAGAGCATTTAATTGATTATGTTGATACAATGAAGAAATATAGGCATGAATTTAGGGGGTGCAACCGAGTCAAGCCGATTCGCGAGCCTGCTCGGGCTCGACTCGTTAAAAGGCTCGAAAAGTCGAGCTTATCGAGCTCTCGAGTCAAGCTCGAACACAAATTCAAGCTTATTGAGCTCGAGTTCGAACAACCACCAGCTTGACTTGCAAGCTGGTTGAGCAGCTCGCGAAACTGTGGGCGGGAAAATGAAATCGGAGCTCAGGTGGGTGGGAAAAAGAAACTCGGAGTCTGAGAAGACCTTGAGACGTAGAAGACTGTAAAGCACATGATGTTACCTCATGACAGAGCAGTGAGATGCAACCTCAGGAGCTCGAGCAGACCTTGGGGCTGAACTAGTGAACACGAGATGCAAGCTGAACCTCTAGACAGTGAGACTTACGCGATTAGACCTCAGAGAGGCGAGATGCGACCTCGAGACCTCAAGACTGAGCTGGCGAGCGTGCCCTCCGGACCTTGAGCATACCTCGAGATGGAACTAGTGAACGCAACCGAACCTAGGGAAGAGATTCGTGAGCTGCTCAACGAGCCGCTCGACGTGAGATCAATCCAGCTCGATCTCCACTCAACTTCGAGCTTGGTATTTGACAGTTGAGCTCGACTTGAACATCCCCTAACTCGAGCTCGACTCAACTTATTTGCACCCCTAGATGAATTTAAGATGCCTAACCACAATGGCTAGATTAAAAGTTTAATTTTTATTATTTTATAGGTTAATCTTACCTAACATTTTTCGTTTACTTAGGCTTCGTTTGGGACAGCTTTTTTATTGCTTTATAAAACGGAGTTTTAGTACAAAAATAAAAAATTTTGTATTAAAACTCCGTTTTAGAAAGCAGTAAAAAAGCCATCCCAAACGAAGCCTTAATTTAGCTCAAAAAAGTTGAAAATTTTATTTTAATTCCCTTTGTTGATTTTTTATTTTACTACCACTTTTCTTAAAATATGATTCAATCCCGGGTTATGATATACTTCAAATAAATTGTGCATTCTTAAGAAAATAAATAATGAGTATCAATGTTTAAATTTACGCAATTGGGTATTGAAGTGTTTCTTATTTGAGAGACGAAGCGAAAGCCTTAAAATAAAATAAAAATTATGTAAAGTGAAAAAAAAAAGTGAAAAATGATTTTTTATGCAGTGTATGCCTAAATAACATTTTAAAAAATGACATATTAATTTTCTATTAAATTATGAAGAAACAAATTTGCATACATATGAAACAAAATATTAAATGAGACGTAAAGTGTTAAGTGATAAATTGCATGAAATAGAATCAAAATTCAAATATTTCAAGAGAAAGACAACATAAAATATAGAAATTTCATAAAAATATCATATACTATCAAGTTCAACTCAAAATTACTATCTTTCTCAGTTCGATATTCATGCACATTTAATTACTAAAAAAATTGAAATAGTTGACAACAACTCATAAATCACTTGTGCTGTCATCACTAATCGGATGCCAATTCGAACGCATCATGTCACTCAATGCACTGTGTAATAGATGATATAGCGGGTCCCGTAATAATTTCAATATACACATGCAATCATACTGTAACAATCGTAGGAGGATGACTAGCATTCCATTCAAACATATGCTCCTACTTAATGTAGCATTTTCATGTATTTCTATATGTAGACATTTTAAAAGAAAAAAAAAATATAAATTCTAAACTATCCATCGCATACTGTCAAAGTACATTGCATTTAATAAAGGAACATACATTTACCTGTCTAAAACACCTAAAAGAATATAATTTCTATTAACTAACATTAATTCATTTTCATTAAATTAGCATTTTAATATCATTATTTTTGGATTTAAATAAACCCTAAAATTTTAAAATACAGATTTTGGTCTAATCCTATGATTTGCCCTTTTTACCCATTTACAATTGCATAATTTAATTTAAAGTAACTTAACTTTTTTTTGTTTTGCCCTAAAACCCCAAATTTGGAAATCTAATTTCCATTATTTTTATCACATATTCATGCTAAAACCTCCCGTTTACCTAATTAACACTTGGGTCATACTTATTTTCAATTTTTTTTTTAAATTAAAGATTAAAAAAATATAAAACTGTGAAAAATCCAAATTTTCTCTTAAAAATATTCCTAGGATTATTAGGAATAACATTTATTAAGGCATCCTCAAAGAAATCGAATTTTGAAAAAGCCATTATTTTAGAAATCTCAAAATATTTGGAAGAAAATTAAAATTAAGGTTTAAAATTCATCATTAAGCTTCCCTAAACATTATCCTTTTAAAATTTTCAAATTTCGGAAAACTCTAGATTTTCAACCTAAGAAAATCAAAGCGAAAAGAAGAAATCTTTGGTTTAGGAACATACTTCTTCTTTCTTAAGGCTTCCCCTTCGATTCCCCCAAAAATTGTCGGCCGCCGCTTGCCCGAAGTCCCTTGCCGCCTCCCTCTCCCTCTCTTCAGCCAAATAAGAAAATACACAGGAAATGAAGGGACCAAAAGTTTCGGTCCTTTTAGGCTATTTGGGCAATTGGGGAAAAGCCAATTTATGCATGTGCCCTTACATGCTTAAGATTCATTGAGAGTAGGATGAGCTATTTAGTAATTTGTCTTTAAATAAACTTTGTCAAATTTTAATTTCAAATTCATATGAAATTAACCCTAAGTCCTTCAGACCAAATTTAATCAAAATTTGATGTAAAATTTATAAAATTTGTTTCGTTGAACTCTGAAAACTTCGAAAATTCATCTATTTTCGTCGCGGTGAATCACAACGTGTCGCGATGCTATGATTCGACATTTTCAAATTTTACATCGAAAGGTCAATATTTTATGTGATCAAACCATCTAAGACAACTCTCTCTAATCTTATTTGGCACTAGAGCTACTCCAACATTTTCACGTATATACTCGTTTCGCATTCTATCTCTAAAAGTAAAGCCACTAATCCACCTGAGCATTCTTATATGTGCAACTCGTAACTTATTTTATGTTTCACTTTTAATGCCATCATTCTACACCATAAAGCATTGCAGGTCTCATCATCATCATATAGAATTTTCCCTTAAATTGGAAGGGTATTTTTCTATCACACAACAGCCTGAAGCATTCCTCCAATTCAACCATCAAAATTGAATTCTACTTGTAATATCCCCATCTATTTCCATCACTTTGAACAATAAACCCTAGATGTCTAAAATGAGATATCATGATCCAAACTATGGTTATTAAAATGTAGAAGTTGAATAAATTGCAGATCATAGACTTAGTCCTCCTAAGAAGTAAAACTCTCTCATGTCAGGAGGAGAAAGATTCAAATAAGCATATATTGTAGAGGGAATACACAGACCATCTATAAAGCTTAGACTATCCTCTATGGCAATAGTTCATAGGGGCAAGTCATAAGGGATGAGAGGAATTAGTAATGGATTGAACTTGACCAAAAAAGGGCCATCATGAGGCAATTTAAATGGCTCCACATAGAAAATCACTTACAATCTAATGCTGCATTTTGATAATGTAAGATCTACAGTATGTGCTAAAAATATGACAAAACATTTGACAATGCAAGCAGAGCCTCCCTCCATTCTATAAATCAGCTGAGGCATGCAAGAATGATAAATTATTCATGAACAAAATAAATATGTGCAAACAGACCAAATGAAAAATTGTAAGCATGAATTTAACTCTATTAGACCGTATTCAATGAGTTTGACTTTGCTTATACACTACTTTAAAGTGATTTTGGATTATCTGATAAAAGTTAGAATATCTTCTGTTTAATGTCCTGATTGATTCAAGGATAGTTCAGTAAAAAATGCGTTACAAGGAATTATTAAACACATAAATTGCATAATCTGTAAAAATGAGAGATGAGCATACTGTAAAGGTCTTCATTTCCCAAACACATGTAGCTAATCTTGGAGGTACTACTTGTTATTGCAAGAGAGAGAATTCAGCTCTTCATTTCTTTCAAGTTAAAGAAACAAAATTCTGCTCCAGGATACAAAATTCATGATGTCAACAATGTATAAAACACTAGTAAGTTGACAAAAGAAGAATGCCAGCAAATTACTGTTGCTGGATGAAATATTTACATAGGCATAAGCTACCACGGTTGTGAAAAAAAAAACAAGTGTAATGGCTTTCTATGCATGCATTCGGGGATTGGGAGAGAGCAGCACCTTCTGAAAAAAAAAAAAGAAAGCTGCGCCCTTTTCCTATTATTTTCGCCACATTTGGAGCCCCAATACAGAAGGATGAGGATCGAGTAGCTGGGATGCCATTTGAAGCCTCAAGCTGAAAGAGCGGGGATTTAGGTTTCGTTTGGGATGACTTTTTTACTGCTTCTTAAAGCAGTTTTTGAGTGCAAAAATTTTAACTTATGTACTAAAAAGCTGCTTTAAGAAGCAATAAGAAAGCCATCCTAAATGAAGCCTTAATGTTGAAAGCTATGGAGATTGATTCCTGCATGAGACAATAAAACCCCACAAAATAGCTTTATGTTGGTTGGCTGCAAAATAGAGAACTTTGAACTAAGCTAATTCATGTATTGAAGTTGAAGGAGCATAGATTCTGTGAGATGATGAAGCAAACTAGCCATGTACATATTATGAAATCTTATGGAACAGGAAGTGAAACAATCAAATGACCTACCTATAGCAGATCAGGCAATTCTACATGCACTTCCATAAAAAGAAATGTTGAGAGCGGAAAAGTTGGTTATATTTCATTAAAACAATAGAAAATATCCTCAATTAGAGGATAAAATTATACATAAAAATATATCTATGGTTAATTGACTAATTAAAAGTTTCCTATAATACTACTTTCCAACACTCTCCTTCAAGCTAGAGCAGAGATATCAATTAGCTCTAGCTCGTCACATAACTTGAAAAATTAAAGTGGACTCATAACCTTGGTAAAAACATTTACTAGTTTTTTTGAACTAGGATCATAAGGTGTAACAATCTTCTTTGTTAGTAATGCTTCTAAAATAAAATAGCAATCAAGCTCAATGCATTTTATTCTTTTATGAAACACATGATTACTAATAATGTAGATAACAACACGGTTGATATAATTTAAAATGAGAAGTTGATATATTGCAAAGCCAATTTCATTACGAGGATTTTAACCTACATCATTTCACATATAGATTGTGCTATGTGTTTGTATTCATCAACAACTCTTGAGTTTTGCCACCATAGTTTGCTTATTGTTCTTAGATATAACAAAATTGCCTCAAACAAAGATGAAGTACTCAGATATGGACCTAGCATAGTCAACGTTTTCCTATTAACATGTCAATAATTTGTATAAGTCATTCTCGTGATTCCTAGTTTATTTGAGGAAACTAAAACAACTTCACCATGTTTCTGTTTAAAAGTTTGCATAAGTATGCACAATCCCAACAACAACTGATCTATCTGGTATAATGACAGTCCGACCAATCTTTAATAATAAGAAACAACTTCAAAGAACTTACCTTTATCTATAATTTTCTAAATGCCAATAAGTTTTTCAATCACTTTATTTTTTAGAAGTTTGTATGTGTTGACTAACAGCTCAAAAAGCAAAGATATATCTGGTGAAATGGCAGAGGGTGCATAGATTTCCAACCAATAATCGATAACCAGGCACATCTTCAAAAATCTCCTCTTTATTTGTAATTTTTTTGCTTGTCAATGGAGTGTCAATAGTTTACAACTAACAAATTAATTTCTTCAAAAAAGGCATTCTAAAAGACAATGGTAGTCTTAATTTGCTGTGGATAAACTCGATGCCCGAAAAATCCACCTAGATCTTTAGTCAAAAAAATATTGAATGTAGTACTTTAATTCTATGAAGGTATAAAGGAAATGAATAGTAGGATCATAAGAACAATAGTATTTTTGGAAAATAAGCCCAAAAAATATGTACCCAATGACACAAGGAGAGAGTTGGCTGTCAGTACGAAAGGAATGAACAAAATATAGGCATCCGAAAACTTTATGAGTAAGAGAAAATGAGGACTGCCCAGGATGCAAGACAGAGTGGGGGTGATGTTACCAAGAATAATTGAAGGGAGATTATTAACTAGATAGTAGTCGTTAACTCAGCATCACCTTAGAATTATTGTAGAAAATTCATTTGAAACTTCAAAATACGGACTAAGTGAAGTAAATGATGATGCTTATGTTCTACAATCTCATTTTGTTGAGATATATGGAGATGAGGCTACTGAATGATTTTATTATCAACACACAAAAAATCAAGTTAAAACTGTATAAATTCCAAGGAATTATCAATGTAAAGTGTCTTGATTGTAATAGAAAATTGAACTTTAATTTCCTGATAAAATCTGTGAAATACATATCGACCCTAAGAATAGCAATTAAATAAATAAACCTAAGTAATACGAGAAAGATCATTAATAAAATAAAAAAATTTAAAACTCACACAGATAAGCAACGGAAAATTTTTCTAGTGGGGCATAAATTAAAATTTCCAAATATGCGCTCAATTTTTTTCATCCATGCTTGAGACTGACATTAATAGCTTTAAAGCATGTCTTATTCAAACTTATTATTTAAAAAGATAAAATATAATATAAAAAAAACTAATAATTTATAATGCATATTCTTCATATTCTGAAAAAGTTAAATGATTATTTTATTATCAATACAATCAAATATTTATTTCTCAATATAAATGATTAAAAGTTACTCATCAATAATCTCTAATTTTATTTTTTTGTCAATTTTTCATAATAGGTATGATAGAAAAAGCTCTTTCAACTTATTTTCTATGCAATGATCTTAAAACAAATTCTAAATATTCCATATAAAAATCAGAGCTATAAAAATTGTTTCGCTCCCACAGGCCCCCTTAGCTTCGCTCATGCGGATAAGGATATAAGACTTAGTGATGCAGGACTAATTAGATGCGATGATTATTTAGTCATTTAGGCATTGCACAACTCTTAGATTAGAATAAATTCCGGAAACAATTACTTAGCAACTCTCAACGAAGATTCAAAACAAATAAGGAAATGATTTGCTTAGGCGAATTTACATGCTCTGAATTTTGAAACTTTCAAAATAGATAAGAACAACACACAACGCAAACAGTAGGCTTCAAATTAAATCCCTAATCTAACAATGAGACGTAGGATGCATAGAAGATTACACTCAATTCCTACAAATGACTAAGCTTGGCAAGAGCAATTTGTAGGAGCTTTCGTGATTACAATCAACCAATTGAGAATTTAGAGTTAGAAGAAATTGAATACAAATGGAGAAGAGGAAGACCTTTGCTCAAGAAGACATGGAGATCCGTCACTTGATGCCTTTAACGTCTTCGTCCATGGCTTCCTTTGATGCAAATAAGATGCGTCTCTTGAATAGTCACAAAGAGAAAGAAGTTTCTCTTGATACTGGGTTGGGAAACAACTTCCAATTGTAGCTCTCAAAACCTGAATTTGAGCTCAGATTTTGCTCCAGAAATATGAGAAAATTCTCAGATTTTTTATGCACGGGATGTGCTTGGAAGAAGAGAACTCAAGGCATTCAATGGCTTGGCCTAAGGAGAGGAAAAGAACTGTTGGTGAGAGGGGAGGATCGGCAAGGTAAAGCAAATCCAGGAAACAGGAGGGGCGGCGGGATGATAAACGGTGGAGAGGGAATTGATTTCCTGATTTAATGTCTTAAATTAGGAAATCAAATAAATTAAGACAGATGTAGGGAATTTCGGCTAAGTGATAAAGGGGGAATTTGAAAATATTCCAAAGTGGACTAAGAGTCAATTAGGAAATAATTCCTCATTGGCCATAGAGGGGAGCCGGCAGTAAACATGGGTGAGGGGGGGAATTAATGAGAGGATTTTGATCTCCTAATTTGGTTTTAGGCTTTAGGAAATATTTAATCAAATCCAATTTGAATTAAAATTTCAAAATAGATATGAGTTAAAACTTTCCTAAAATAGGTGACTTAAATTAGGAAAGATTTTGAAATTCAAACTTGATTGATTTTGAATTTCAGAATTTTCCACAAGTGGTCTCCAACCTAATTAGGAAACTCAAAGGTGAAGGGAAGTGGAGTGTGGCCGGCGGCTATGGGGCTAGGCCGGCGGCAAGAAAAGGTTTTGGGCAAAGTGGCCGGGGCTATGGGGGATTTTAGTGGAGCTTGGTGTGTGGAGGAAATTGAGGGAAGTTTGGTGGAGTTGGACGTGACGAAGACGAGTGATGGAAGGTGGCGAGGGAAGACGAAAATACAAAGAGAAAACCACGAACCCGGCCGTATCCAAGGTTGGTGGGTGATGCGCCAATCTCCCTCTCCAAGGGATCTCTCCAAAGCTCTCTAAGAACTCTCAAATGCTCTCAAGCACAAGTGCAGGAAAAATTCTTAAATTCATTCATTCATTCATTAACTTGAAAATAAAACAAAGGGGCTTTAAATAGCCTCATACAAAAGACTCTAACTGACATGACACAATTGCCCTTAGGCTTACACATGAGCATTCCCATACAAAGGGGTACAAAGGGAAATAAAATAAACACTCATAAGCAAATAATAAAATGCATGAAAACAAAATACATCGACTCAAAAATATAACGACTCGATCGTGGCCGTAGATTGGCGGCCACGTCGCTGGTAAACTCTCCATGATTATCTGATGTCCCCATCACTTAGACCCCAGAGTAACCTCAAAGAGGAAAAAGCTTTTTAAAGAGAGCAAAATGTTAAAACTTAAAATATAAGATATAGGCATGAGATTTTTTTTTTTTTTGAAAGGTGGAATGAATGAAATTTTTTACCTTCTTTAAAGTGTCGTGAAACACAACAATCTATGCAATAAAATGTTCAAGACTATTAAATAACCAACAACAACACCATAAAACATTTATCCACTATGTGGGGTCAGCTATATGAATCATTTTTCTCCATTATGTCATGTTAAGAGTCAAATTTTCATTTAAATCTAAGAAAAAATAACATTTCTAATATTTTCTAACCAAGTCTTTTTAGGTTTTCTTCTACCTTTCTTAAATTAGGACAAATATAATACATCTACTCTCCTAATCGGGTCATTGAAAGGCCGACGTTTTATGTGAACAAACCATCTAAGACAACTCTCTCTAATCTTATCTGAAACTGGAGCTACTCCAAACTTTTCACATATATACTCATTTCACATTCAGTCTCTAAGAGTGAAGCCACTCATCCACCTGAGTATCCTCATTTATGCAACACTTAACTTAATTTTATACTTCTCTTTTAATGGCCTACATTTTGCGTCATAAAACACTGCAGGTCTCACCACTATCTTATAAAATTTTCCCTTAAATTTGAGGGGTATTGTTTTATCACACAACAAACCTGATGCATTCCTCCACTTCAGCCATCTAACTTGAATTATACTAATAATATCCCCATCTATTTCACCATCACTATGAACAATAGACTCAAGATATCAAAAACGTGTACTCCTATTAATGACTTGATTGTCCAAAGTCACAATCCCCACAGTAGATATATTATTATTAAAATTACACTCCTTGTATTCATTTTTAGGTCTACTCAAACGAAAACCGTAATAAATCAGATGCTTTCCATTTAACAATTTTTATGGTGCCATCGTGAGTCAAAGGAGGCGATCAAGATGTTAAAGTTTGTCATGTGACCCAAAAACGAACTAGAATGCCCTCACCACGAATGATAGTTGGTATGATGTGATGCATGAGTTGAGTTACACAAGATAAAAAGAAAATTGAATAATAGCTTAACCGTTTATATAATCATGCTTCAAATTAAAATCGGCTACAAGAATTCGACGTGTTCCACTTTCTTAGGCAAAGGAATTACAAGGAAAATTAACCATACAATTTAAGCCAATACAAAGGGAAACGTAAAGTTAAAAGCTAGTGATTTGAATCCAACGATTAATAAGGAGTTGTTCACCTTGAGGACTCTTCTCTCTTTCCTACGAAACTAGGTTGAACGGCGGAAGATCGTCCAAGCTAGAAGTGAGGTTGCCACGAGGAGGGAGGAGCCAATGAACGTCGCCGTGGAGAAGGAACTCAGAGGTGGAGGTGGCACGGTGGGATGACCTTCGATGATCCACGTGTAGTCGGAGAATTGGTCGTCGATGGAATCCACTAGTGTCGGTAAAATCCGATCCAAGTACTCTTCGACGGTATTGTCGAAGCCAAACCCCACATCGAAGAAAGGAGATCTTAAGACATGAATATTTCCGTAGATGTCGTAGAAGAGCCCGTGATCAACAGCGGGGTCTGCCATACACCATGGATTTGAAGCCGAGCAATCACCACAAGCCCAAGGGGAGGAAAGGGCGGCTTGGAGAGGAGGAAGAGGGGAGGCCGGCAGTAGAGAGAGGGGGAAAGATGTGGTTCGCTGTAGAAAACTGAAATTAATTTCAGTTAAAGGGATTTGGGAGGGAAAATATTTGAGATTTGAATTTCCAATTAAATGCAATTAAAGCATTAATGGAAATTTCATTAGGGTGAGGCCTAAGGGGGAGCCGGCGGTAGGGAGAGAGGGGAAGAGGGAGTTTAAAACTAAAATTATTTCCAGTTTTAGTATAATTGGAGGGAAAATGATTTGCACTTAATTTGGATTTCAAATAGAATGAAGGAGTTAAGTGCATAATTAATGAGGGATCAAGAGAGGGGGGCCGGCAGCATGGCTAGAGAAAGAGGGAATTAGGGAGAGAGGGAGAGGGGTTTCCAAACATTGAATGATGACTAGGAGAGTTTTAAATTAAATCCAAATTAATTTAATTTTGAATTTGGATTTAATAAAAAACTTCCCATATATAGAATTTCCAAATTTGGAAAGAGTTTGAAATTTGAAATTCAAATTTCAATTCGAAATTTGAAATTCAAATTTCAATTCGAAATTAGCGGAGAGGAGGTGGGTGGAAGGAGGTCGACGGGTGGCTATGTGGCCGGCCAGTGGTGAGAGGGTGGACGGCGGGGGGGGCGGCGGCAACAAGGGGCTCGAGCTTCTTTGCTTCCTCGTCTTTGCTTGGGATCTTCTATAGCGGAGAGGCAAGAGATTAAGGATTGCAAGCCTTGGATGATTTCGCCAAGTGAACTCACAAAGAGATCACAAAGAACTCACTAAGAGATCTCAAAGATATTGAACTCACAAAGAGAACAAAGCATAAGAAAATTTCATTCAACAATTCATTACCTCATACAAGAAACAAGAGCCATATAAATAGGCTCCAAATGAAAGCAAGTACAAAAGTATAAAATGCCCCTCGGGCTACAAGAGAAAACTAATACCCACAATGGCAAAATGGGAAAAACTGAAAATAACGAAGTGATATATGAAATGCAAATACAACAAGTCATCAGTAGTAAAGGCCCTCCATCATGGTCGTCGATCTCCGGTGTCGTCTCTGATAAACGCATCGGAATCTCCTGTCGATGCCCCCATCATGGTACCATTAAACTTGATAATCCTATCAATGGCGAAGGAAGGTTATATCTCAAGGACAGAAGGAAAATCATAACACCATGATAAGAGATGCACGTAGAAACAAAGTGAAAATCACATCAAACATGTAAGGAAGATTGTGAAGTGGTGATTCAAAGCAGGAAGAGAAATACACATAAAATGAAGTGAGGGTGTTGTGTGTGCTGACAAATGAGAAGTCGAAAAGGAGTGAATTTATAAGCAAGAGGGAGCAACATAGACATGGGCACAGTCAGAAGCAAGTGAGGCAGCAACGTGCAAGCGGCGCAACATCAAGCGAGCATGTAAAAGTCGGCCAAAGCAAGTTAGCAATCAATGAGAGCACAATAATAAACATTGCATGAGTTGAGCAAGCAAGCGTGTGAATGAGCAAAGGAGGGTGTGTGTAGAGATTTGAGCAAAGTGAGTTTAATCCCGACTCATTAACGAACTCCTAAGTTGAGCTTATCGAACCACAAGCTTAAACTCAATATCAAATTATAACTCGTATATTAAACCAGATTGTGTTCAAGTTAGATGAAACTTGGCTTGTCGACTCTCAAGCAGGTAAGATTATAACAAATATTTAAATCAAATTAGCATTTCTCACCAATTTAAGTTAATTGTAAATCCTGATTCCCAACTACCATAAGTAACAATAACTCTTCTTCTTCAACTGACGTTTGTTCAGACGATCAATTGATGCATTCTCTGCTTAGCCCCTGTTGTGATTTTCTCTTCTTTTTAGCTGTGCTAGTCTTATCAATCCTTCTCTAGCGGCTTCTACCAAGACTTTCTCTTCTTCTCCAGTCGTTGGTCTCGTCGATCCTTCTCAAATGAGCTACTGTTGTAACCTCCTATTTCCAGACACTAGTCTCGTCAATACTTCCTCGTGATTCTCCTTCCTAGCAATTTTGAGCTCAAGCTTGAGAATATGAGCTCAACTCACACTTGAAATTAACCCAATTTTGTGACAAGTCGAACTCAAGTTAACTATAAATCCAACTCAACTCAACTCGTTTACACCCCTAGGTGTTGCGAGCAAATAGGAAAGAAAGACAAGATTCATGATGAGAAAAGGGAGGGTTTGGGGACAATACAATAGATGTCATTGTATTAAACTAGCTCTAATACCATATTTAAGTGGAGAAAATTTTGTCAAATTTTATTATTAGTGTTCCAATATATAGACAACTATGGCGAACACAATAAGCAAGAAATAAAGCATAAAATAGAATTATGAGAATAATATCATAAATAGAAAGGTTTTTATGATTAAGTGGCTAACTAAATCTTTCCTATGGTACAATTTTCAATCTAGTACTTTCCAACAAGGCAGTGGTAGCATATCCCAAGCATCCATTTGGAAGATGGGAAATTTCCACCCGTGTTGTCCAAAGCAATACCAAAGTAAAATGTCTAATCATATTGTTTCAATTTTGAAGTGATCCTGCATTTGCCAAATAACCATGTTTCAAGAAATTGATTGATAGGTTCTGCATTCCAATAAAATCTTGTAGCCAAATTTATATGCTATTGCTGCGCTAAAATTTGAAGAAATAGAGTATAAGGGCAGACGATTGACTGATGTCTACATGAACCACAATAACCATAAAGGTTATATTTAAAGAAGATCATTATAAGATGTGATACTACAGTACTTGATGAAATATTACGTAAAAGCTGATGAGCCTTTAGCAAACTAAACTCAAAATGGCCTTTATTTGTTTGACAATACTTAACTCTATATCTTGCTGAGCTGCAGTCCATCCAGGCTCATAAGCTTCAAGAAAGCCAAGCTTTGACTTGTTAGGAAGGTCATGGGGATGAACAAATGGGACCCCTGGTGGCCATCCAATCTCCATTCTTATACTTCCACATGGACTGTCCCGCGACTGTAAGTGACCTTCACATTCTTTTAGATTGCAAAATCTAAGTTTGATGCCCTTCTTGTCAGCAATATCCTGGACACGTTCTTTAAGGACTCTTTGAGCTTCAAGACGTAGTCTCTTAGAAGGTGGCAATGGCTTGCATCTTGTGCTATTCTTCTTCCTCTTCATGGGTTTCATTGCTACAGGAATACCGATTGCAAAAATAAACAAAAAAGGGGAAGATCAAGACTTCCACTGAGGAATACACAAGAAAGAAAACTTAAAAGAGAATCCGAAATCTATTTTGAATCAGAAAAAAGATTGAGCAATGGTTTAACGTAAAATGAATCCAACAGTATATGGCAATGAAGAATCAAAATGACATAAGAAAATAAATTTGATAGGAGGACCTTAAGAATGCCAAATGAAAAACAAAGAGCAGGTCCATAGACAGTAGTCCGCAAACCATAAAGTGCGTGATAAGCAATTATGGACTTTGAACTAAGAGAATCAACAAAGCACAAAGTTGTTCGGTTCTTCTGAGCTTTGAACAATGTTCTAAAATTTGGAAATATACAGCAGGCATTGTACTAATCACAAAGCGAGGCACAAGTATGGAGGCACAGGAAGGCACACAAATTTGACTTTATGAGTTAACTCTTCACCCCAAGTTTATCCTACAAACCTTCAAGAAAGCTAATTAAATTATTATTATGATAGACCGGGACCGGCCTAGGTGGGCTGGACGAACTAGCCCAGGGGGGCTGGTTTATTTCCTAGCGGCACTACAGCAATCGGCCCCCTTGAGGGGCCCAGTACTTGAATATGAGGGGGCAGTTTAGGCAGGTTATTATTTAGAGAGGGGCAATTTAGTAAATTAGGGTTGTATTTGTAAGTTTTAAATAGATGAGATTTTCTAGAGTTAGGGTTATCTGGTTATTTGCTAAATTTTGAGAGTTCCTAGGGTTTGCTTGGGCTCTAGCTGCCGGGTAAAGATTGGGAGAGACGGATCCTCCTTTCCAATTGAGGATGCATTGTATCTAGTTCGTTTCTTTCATCTTTTATCAATAAAAAGGTTTATTTCTGGTTATTTCTTCCAAATTCTTCTCCAATCTATTTTTGCAAGTGCTAGAATTCAAACTCAGCAAAGAGAATTCTTGTGCCTACAAGCGCTTCATATCATATTATCAACAAGCTTCCTTGGATGGCCTAAGTGATGCCTAGATTTGTTGGGTGTGCCCCAATCATCCCCACAAAGTTCTGGAGCATTCTCCAAAGGTGAGTCCTGAGACGCTTCCCTAATATGCCTTTAAACACATTTCTTAATAAATAAAATGAATTCTGACTCACCCCATTTATCCTCAAACCATACAAAGGAGAATTTAGTCAGAAGTCAAAGTTCATCAGCAATTCACCACAAAAGCACAGTACTAACATTGGTAAGCAAATAAATTTATTAAAATAATTATTCAATCAAGAGAACCATAAACAGCACGTTAAACTTGCAAATATACATGTATACATAAAAACACATACTTCCATTATACGAGCTCCATAAGTGAAGCATCCAAGAATTTAGATACAGAACTTCCTTTGCAGTTCAAATGAAGAATGCCAGTTTGCCTGCATGCTGCTAAATTGGGAAAGTTTATTTAAGTATTCTGCAAGGCTCAAAGTGGTCAAAACTCATGTAGCTCTTGATTTCTAAGTTGTCAAATGTCACCATCATTCGCTTTCTAAAGTATAAAGTTTCAACAATTAACAAGTTCATGGTTTAGTGGCCGGCTGTAAAGCAACAAAACCTTTGTTATAAGATATAATACACTTTGAATGAGAAGTCTTTTTATTGTAACTGAAATAAGATATCAGGGATCAAAGAAAATTTGCAACTTTATTGGAAGCTATGGTGAATGGAATTTAAAAAAAAATGCCTGAAAATTGCAGGGGTGCTAGCTGACTAGGGCTTCCCTCACCCAGTTTTCCATCAAATTTGCAAGTTATCAAGAACTAGAAGTCATAGAAATTGAAAAGATGGAACAACGTAATTGCATTAAGAAGATCAACTGAAATTTGAACAGTTGCAAATTAAATTTTGAATTGAATTTTAGTTTATTCAATCGGAGCGTGTATTTATATATCTAAGATATTACTAGTTCATTAAGGATGCAATGGGAAATATAATTAGTAGATTTACAGTTATATTTTTTATTTTAGATATCAAAGGGTCTAGAGTTTTCTTAAAATGCATCTAACATAAATAAAAACACGAGCAAGAAAGGCCCAATTTGCAATTTAATGACTTCAATTATGCAAAAGCTTCATCTCTTTGGATGAGAATTGAAAGCAAAATGTGTCTTAAAAGATTAAAGTTGTCCAAACTAAAATTTTGCAAGAGATTTAAATGTTTTTAAGAATAATATTATAGGGTTTAGGTTGAGATAACGAAAAAAACGGAGTAGCTCCAGTGGCAAATAAGAGAGTCGTCTTAGATGCTTTGGTCACAAAAAACATCGGCCTTCTGATGATCCTATTAGGTGAGTAGATGTATTAGTCAGACTTATGTTAAGAAGGATAGAGGAAATGAACTTTTTTTATTAAATTTAAATGAGAAATTGACACTTAATAGGACACAAAGCAGAAAAAAGATTAATGAAGCCAACCCTACATAGTGGTATAAAGGCTTATTGTTGTTCTTGTCGTATAATATTATAACCAAAAAATGATATGAATACAACCAGAGTAATTACAAAAAATTGCCAAACCAAAAAGAGAAATACAAAGATAACAAGATAACCAAGTATTCAACATACAATGGATCATGTAAGCCACAACAGAAAAATTCATTTGGATCATCATACTTGAAGCATAACGAATATAAGAAGGGGCAATAGATTTTTTTTTACGATTCCCATCCCGTCTAGTAAATATAGAGCATCTCATCAACCAGACTATATTGAAGCTCTAAATGCTCGCATCTAAATCATAAGGCTAATGAAAATCATGATCATCACTAAATTCGCAAATTGGAGGGAGTTGAATTATTCCAATAACAAAAGATCAGTCTCAATTCTAATACCAGCCAATGATGAAGTGTCTATCTCAATAGGACAAGTAGGGGCGGGATTAACTGTCTTTAATTCCAAGGGAGAGATTAAAACTCTTTTCAAATTCTGAGTGCAGGCCTGATTTGATGGAGTATCATCCATTAAAGAGATAGAAGGTCGAATCTAAATATTTGACTGTACCTCTTACGCCTTCAGATTTTCTCAACTTTGGATGAGCCTTGAAACAATTTGATAATTTATGCCCAACAACTGCATGAAGAAAAATAGGATGAGAATGCGTTCCAATTCACCCATCTGCCATTATCCAAAAAACAAAGTTCCAGTACACATCTCATTTTCAAAATGAGAAACACCATCTAGGTCCACTAGAACTCCGACCATAAAAGGTTTAAAAAAATGAGCAGTAGCAAAAACTACGTGCAAATATTTTCCAAATTTATAACTCAAAGAATATAAAGCGGACTAGTTGAAGTAATGCAGTCGAAGTATCAAGAATGAGATCAAAATAAGAGTGATAGGGGGTACCTCGAAGGAGTCAAAATGGGGGACCATTTTAGCATATGTATCAGATAACCATTAAGATAGTATGAGCAATAAGAGAAAAGTCTGGTGTAAATTACTTCTAAAGATAGTCATATGATGACATGATATGGGTTGATAAGCCCAACATAATAGTCATCCACCAAATATAAGCCAAACATGAATTTGTGAATTATATCTAGGTTGGGTTAGTCTACAGATAATTTTTCAAAGATAAAAAAAGACTTGGCTATAAATATTAGAAATCACTTTTTTTATTAAATTTAAATGAAAATTTGACTCTTAACAGGACACAAAGGAGAAAAAAGATTCATATAGCCAACCCCGCATAGTGGGATAAATGCTTGATATTGTTGTTGTAATAAAAAAAAAATAGCCTGATAAAAGCTTGATATGTTGTTGTAATCAAAAAAGAAATTAGCCTAGCAAGTACAATAATCTCATCAAAGAAAATGAGCATGTTTCAAGGCTATTTTTGTTGAATTGTTGTTGTATCATAGTGAAAAAAATAATGGAAAATAATTTGATGAAGAAGAATGTAAACCTAAAATGTTCAATCCCCCAACCATGTCAGCAAAAAAACGTCGTGGGTGAGCAACTAGAGTCCAAATCCACAAAGGAGAGGAAGAAGAACGAGGAACTTCAATGAAGCAAGAAGGCATCGAGATAGGATTTGATGACGCAAACCTAGTTGGGGCATCAACCATACCCCTAGGTGCAATCAATGTGGGAGAATGGAGAGTCATATTCAAGAGCGAGGAGGGGGGGTAGTCTGCATGTGCCATCCAAAGAAGGTGACGATACAAGTGGCAAGAATTTAGAAAGAGGAAATGAGAAAATAATCCAAAGAGAAGAACATTGATTCCCAGACAAGGGAAAAGGTATGGCTGAAACCTACCCGACAGAGACAAATTTAGGAAAAGTTGAAGCAGGGGTGAAGCCCCTCACACAAGTGCAAGACAAGGACAACACAAGCAACTGGCTAGTAGAACCAACGCACGGAGTCGAACGATGCCGAAGCCACAGACAACATAAGTACGCCAAAGGCACGAGTGTGTGGCATAACCTTCAATATGATAAGAAGGCAAAGCCTCGAGCGAGGGTGCGAGTCATGAAAAGAGATGAGGTTAGGATCATGGTTTAAAATTGCGCAATATGAGGCTCGCCTTGAGGCCCGCCTTTGCGCAATTCCAGTAAAAAATGCCTCGATGTTTACGCCTCGAGTTTTTGTTATGAGGTTTGCGCCTCAACTTGGTTGAGGCCCGCCTCACCTCACTGGCATGAGGCTTACGTCTAACGCTATATATATTAAAACTTACATAAATCTTGAAGTAAATGCCCGACATTGGACTCTATAGGAGGGAGGAAGGGGAGAGAGCAGTTGTAACAACCAGAAAATCAGGTAATTATATCTTTTAAAATTTAATAAGTTTAGTTAATATATTCTAATTACATTGTTAGATAGATTAATAGCTAGTTAATAGTTATTTATTATTCAATGAATTTTGTATTAATATTAAGTAAATTATTAAATGAAATTAATTATTGAATAGTTGCTTTCATAAGATGCAAGTGTGAGATGGCAATTAGATGGCAGTTGCTATGTATTCTGAAGAGGTGTTACGTGGGGCTCTTATCCCTTCTTTCATTTAGTTTCACGCAAGCCAGAAGAAGCATGGCACTGTGCTGTGTAAATTTTCGTTAAACTGAAGGCAGTAAAGGATCGGCTTATTGCTTTGTTGAATTTCTTGATTGGCAAAATCCAGAAAATCCTATACCTAGTGGCGGCACAGTGATCCAGAAATCACTGTAGTAAATTCATCCCAGTTCCGCCATAAGCCATTCGCAGAATCTCCTGTAGCAAATTCGGTACAGTGCCGCAACACTGTAGAGAAATTCGATAAAAGAAATGTTGTGCGGGTTTGGAAATCAAATATAGAGCAGGAATTTGGAAGGTTTGGAAGAAACAGAACCAAAGAAAATTTAGACAACATGAAGGAGAAAGTAGAATGGGAGGAAAGCTGAATGCTAACGAAAGATCAAGGTATTGTGCCAATTTGGGTAAGTAAAGTTATGTTTAAATTCATAATGATTACCAAGAAACTTTTAGTATATTATTCATGTTTATATTGAATTCCACAGCATGATTTGAAAGTGAATTACAGTAAAGAGTCCTATTAAAACAAAGTTAAGAGGAAATTAGGGAAGAACGAATTGAGGTAAGAAATTCAAATTTCTTTAATGATTTGTGTGGAAGTTTAAAGGATAAGGAAAGTTTCTAAAGAAGTGTATATCAATCGAAATTTTAGGATCCATCAGATATATGCAGAAAGGAAGTTTGGGAGAGTTTATCAGAAGAGAAGATTAAGTGGGGTAGAATTGGAAGAGGCAATTCATCAAGAATGTAAGTTATGTAAAGTTAATTACTGATTTTTTTAGTATATTTATTATGTCTTTTCAATGATCTGAGTAAGTCAATATATTATGAATATTTACGTATTAACCATGAGATTGTATTGAGATATTCGTGTTAAACAAATGTCTTTTATGTGGAAAAGTGAAATTAATATTTGATCAAGTATGATGTTTCAATCTTTTTAATAATATGTTAAAGAAAGAAGTTTGCATTTGTTAGATAATGCATATTAAACTCTTTTTGCAACACTTGTACTGTTTTATAAGTGGTAAGAATATGAATTATGAATATGAGAGTTATTGAATATTTATTTAATAAAGATTGGCTAGTTTATATTATGATATCTACATTTTCAGGTGGGCAAAAGGGACCCCAAGGAAATGGATACCTGCATAGCAGGTGGGGCAAAAGGGACCCCTATAGAGGCAAAAGGGACCTCTATGAAATTCAATGGTGATAATGCCAGATTTACCTGGGCTCTATTGAATATATTAAAATATAGCCAAATCTTTTAAAAGATTAAATATTCAATATATATCTCAAATGACATAAAGGATGATGTTTAATATGATGCTTTTGATGCTTTTCAAATAATGATAAGTTGGTGCAATGATTAGCTCAATATTGCATTTCATTTTATCAATTCATTTTTATTATTATTTAATTTTGCATAGCTTATGTGAGCCTCATAGCTCACCAGAACTTTCTTCTGGCTGTTTTTACAGGCAAAGGAAAAGATAAAGTTGTTGTTGATTAGATTTTAAGTACCTCAATGTTATGTGTTATTTCTATATCTGTTAGTAAGGATTAGCTAAGGGTATGTAAACACTCATTTGAAGTATTTTGTTTGGATGTTCCTTAGTAGCTCTGTAATATGTTGTGGATGTTTAAAATGTTAAGTACTTCAGTTAATGTATCAATGAAGGTTTATGAGATACTTCGTATAGTTATGCAAGTGATTAACTATTTTCAAAAACTTTCAGGAAAGAAAATGATATGTTTTAGCTGTTACACTCTACAGTACTAGTCAAGGGTACTGTGGGGTGTTACAGCAGTTCATCATAATGATGATTCAAATGAAGAACCCCTTAGTGATGACAGTGCTGATGACTTATGAGTTCTTATGTGTTATGTCATTGGTATTTATTTTTAGAAATTGGAATTATATGTTAATGAAAAGAATACTGGGATTTGGGAAAGATAGAATTTTGAGTTGAACTATATTTCATGTTGTCTTATTATTGGAATATTTTGATTTCACTTTATATCTTATGCTTTTTTATGTTTTATATTATTCACTCATTAGTATATAAAAAATTTATCATTTTATGTTTACGCAATATTTTGATTTTGAGGCTTACGCCTCAAAACGCCTTGCGGCTTATGCCTCGCCTCACGAATGAAAAATGCCTCAATACCCGAATACGCAATTTTAAACATTGGTTAGGATATGGTGAGCCATGGAGAGAGTGCACAATGAGCATCGAGTACTCTTGAGTTTTTTTTTCTCCTCCCACAAGAAATCTAAGATTGAATAAAAATTTACGCAAGGATCACTAGGATTCACACCAACACCAACACTAACAACAACGACATCAAGTCTTTATTCCACTATGCGGGGGGTTAAAAAGTTGGCTATATGAATCATTTTTTTTCTTTTGTGTCATGTTAAGAGTCAAAGTCTCATTTAAATCTAAAAGGTCATTTCTAATATTTCTTAACCAAGTCTTTTTTGGTCTACTTCTACCTTTCTTAACATAGGCCAAATCCAAAACATCTACTCTCCTAAAAGGGTTATCGAAAGGCCGATGTTTTATGCGTCCAAACTATCTATGGTGACTCTCTCTAATATTATCTGCCACTAGAGCTACTCCAACCTTTTCACGTATCTACTTGCTTCGAATTCTATCTCTAAGAGTGAAGCCACTCATCCACCTGACTATCCTCATCTTCGAAACACTTAACTTAATTTTATGCTTCTCTTTTAATGGACAACATTCTGCTTCATAAAATATTGCAGATCTTACCACAATCTTATAGAATTTTCACTTAAATTCGAGGGGTACTTTTCTATCACACAACAAGCCCGATGCATTCCCTACTTTAACCATCCAACTTGAATTTACTATTAATATCCCCATCTATTCCACCATCACTTCGAATAATAGACCCAAGATATCTAAAATATGTATTCTTATTAATGACTTGATTGTCCAAAGTCACAAACCCCCCACTAAATCTATTACTACAAAAATTACACTCCATATATTCGATTTTAGATCTACTTAAACGAAAATTTTTAGACTCTAAGATTGACCTCCATAATTCAAGTTTTCTTCAACTCCCTCTCTAGTCTTATCAACAAGAATAATATCATCAACAAAAAGCATACATTAAGATGCGTCCTCTTGTAAATATTTAGAAAGAACATTCGTGACTAAGCAAAAAGATATGAGCTTAAAGCTAATCGTTGATGTTATCCAATTGAAATAGAAAAATACTTGGTCAAACCACATTATCTTTGAACACAATAGCTCCTGCATACATATCCTTAATAATTTGAATATAAACATTATTAACTCCTTTTTTTTCTAGAACTCTCCAAATCATTTCTCTTGGAACTTTTTCATATGTTTTCTCTAAATCAATAAATATCATATGTACAACCTCTTTATTCTCTCTATACTTCTTCATCAAACCTCTCAATAAATATATGGCTTCCATAGTAGACCTATCTGGCATAAATCCAAGTTGATTTTGAGAAACATTAATATCACGTCGTAAGCTATTCTCAATAACTCTCCTATGGTTTTAATGTATGACATATTAACTTAATTCCTTTATAATTCACACTCTTGTGCATCATATTTATTCTTAAAAATAAGAATTAACACACTTCTTCTTTACTCATTTGACATCTTTTTAGTCTTCAAAATAATGATGAAATTTTTCTAAGCCAACAAAATCATTCAACTCCTAAGCATTTCCACACCTCTAATGGAATATCAGCAGGTCCGACAACTTTTCCACACTTCATTTTCTTTATAGTCTCTCTAACTTTAGTTTTGCTACTACGATAATAAAAATAAAATTTTTATTTTTATTTAGGGTGCTAAGATTACTAAAGTCAATCATATTATCATAAACTTCATTGAAAAATTTATTGAAATATCTTAACCACTTTTATGGAATATCCTTTTCTAAAAAAACCACTTTCTGATCTTCAACCTTAAGTCACTTCACTTGAACTAAATCATTACCTTTTTAATCTGTTTGTTTGACTAACTTATACATACATATTTTCCCTCTATAGTACCTAATAGATTATATAAATTATTAAAAGTTATTTTTTGTATTGCATATTGTTTTCTTAGATGCCTTATGGGCTCCTTTATATCTTTTCCAACTTTTCAAGTTTTTACATCCAAACTAATTTTTATAACAAAATTTCTTATTTTTTATCTTTTCTTGAACATTTTGATACCACCACTAACTATTTATATTATTATGACATTTTTCTTTTGATACTTCAAGTACACCATTTGCAACATTCTTAATATTACTAGATATTTTTTTCAACATAACATTAGCTTCCCCACATTCACAGTCAAAATATTAACTCTTAAAAATATATGTTAGTGTTCTTGAAATGACCCAATCTAATTCTAGGATAATATTTTACTTTATTTTTCATATTTTGCTCATTCATCTTAAAGTCCAAAACTAACAACCGATATAGTGTACATAAGTTTTTACTCGGAATAACTTTACAATCTTTGTAATCTAAAAAATATAATTTTATTATAAAATAATTAATCTGAGTTTTACTATATCCATTCTTATAAGTGATGAGATGCTCCTATTTCCTTAAATAAGGTATTAGCAATTACAAAATTATAAGGCTATAAACTAGAGCAAAATCTAATATGGTTCTACCAGCTTCATTAGTCGCTCCACGCCCATAGTCATCATGAATGCTTTTGAAATCTTTTACCACTCTACCAACATGTTCAATTTAAATATCCTCCAATAAAAACTCTTTTTTGAAGAGGCATTTTTTGCATTAATTCTTTTAAATTGTTCCAAAATTTTAATTTTGAAAATATATTTAAATCTATTTGAGGAGCATAAATATTTATAATATTAATAATCTTAGCATCAACAATAATTTTTAAAGCTATAATTATAACTTCAATTCTATTAATTTTTATAATATTATCCTTCAAACTCATATCTACAATCATACCTACACAATTTCTAGTACAACTATTACTTGAATATCATAGTTTAAATCCTAAACTATCTCCTTAGCCTTTTCTCCAATCCATTTATTTTCCTGAATGCATAAAATATTTGATAATATCATACAAAAATCAATCATAAAGTACATAGCTTAAAAAGTAAATATTCATCAAAGAAAATTTAGGTCTTATGCTAGTACAATGAGAAAGCTTCCCCAATAAGTTGTCATTTAATGATTACACTGCACATAAAAAATTCACATCCAACAGTACATAAAAAGTTTGAGAGAAAATTTGAATTTCATTAAAAAATGGGATGAAATTTTACATTCCTCGATAGCACTATTTATAATTACAAAAGACCGAAATTTGATAATTTATCATAAATCGCAAAATCTAGCAACAACAACATCAAGCTTTTGTCCCACTACGTGAGGTCGAAAAATCTAGCCTAAAATTATAAGTCCTAATTTCAACAATCGGATTCCAGCAAAACAAGTCACAATCCCAATTCCAACAAAAACTGCATATCAAAATTTAGCCAATCCCACAAATGTCGAATTTTGGTTGTGGCTATACTAACAAATTAAAAGTATGGGATTCTCATATCCCTATTATAGTAAAAAAGTGCATAGATGAGAAAATTGAAAAGTCAATAACAATGAATAAGGAAACAAATAATAGCAAAACATGTGAATCACAAATGAAATAAAGAAATCTTTAAGATAATGGCTACCCTCAAAAGAAAGGTATGGACAACAGTGATAGCTAATTCAAGTAAGAATCTAATGAAAAACAAACAAACACAATCAACAAAGAACTTAATGTGTTGAAACAAGATTTCGGGAATAACTAAACCAAGGAATCCAGAAAGAGCATAATTGAACCATTTTGATACATAAATAATTAGACAAATGGACTAAGGGAATCAAAGCATTTGAAAACACATCCCGTTCCAATAAGCATCATTATCTTAGGCATGGTACTTCAAATAAATAGAAAAAATCAACATCCATGAAATAAATCAACTAAAGTATCCTCAAAACTCAAAATAAGCAAGTGCTCACCTCAACACTCACATTATGCGGTTCTGATGCGCATGAATCTTTAAATTTCCATCAAATTTACATGCCTTGAAAAAATTAGGCTATTACAAATTGAGTGTATGATATTTGTCAAGCAAATATGGGCATTATTATCGCTCTTCCTATAAAATAACCCATGAATCACCACAAGCAGCTCTGACACACCATCACATAGAATAATACCTCAAATATCTACTATCAATAGTTGATATTCACTCATCATTTAAATAATTTTAGGCATATAAGAGTAGAATGGTCCGGAAAAGTGTTGGATATTAATTTACAAGATAGAAAAAAAGAAGAATCCAAAGCATCGATAATAAATTCATGAAATAAAGTCAAATCAAATTTATTGAAGACTAATCTAATACTAATTTATAAATTGCTATCCTAATGTGTTGTATGATTTTATATAGTCCTGCCTTTCTTGCAATTAATTTTCTAAAAACAGCATAAGAAACCATTCAGGATTCATACATATCACCACCTTACAAACTAGTTTGAATCTATATATTTATTGTTTGCGTCAATAGCAAATTTATAATTATCATAGTTAATAGTCAATTTCCTAAGAATATGTTCATGCATATCACATGCAAATGTTGTGCA